TGTTGACCAGGATGGTCTCGATCTCTTGACCTCGTGATCCACCCGCCTCGGCCTCCCAAAGTGCTGGGATTACAGGCTTGAGCCACCGCGCCCGGCCTACTAATCCTTCTTTAAAAAAAAAAAAAATGTCCACTGGCTGGGCATGGTGGCTAACGCCTATAATGCCAGCACTCTGGGAGGCCGAGGCGGGTGGATCACCTGATGTCGAGAGTTCAAGACCAGCCTGACCAACATGCAGAAACCTCTTCTCTACTAAAAATACAAAATTAGCCAGGTGTGGTGGTATGTGCCTGTAATTCCAGCTACTTGGGAGGCTGAGGCAGGAGGATTTCTTAAACCTGGGAGGCAGAGGTTGCATTGAGCCAAGATTGCACCATTGCACTCCAGCCTGGGACACAAGAGTGAAACTCCGTCTCAAAAAAAAAAAAAAATGTCCACTGATGATACTCTTTCTGTAGAAGTGACAGGGAATTATCTGAAATTAGAGGTAAGCATCTTTAGACCCTTATGGCAGAGAAGAACAGCGTGAGAGAAAAGAGCTGACAGTAGTATCCAAAAGGAGGCAAGCCCAGGCCAAACATTTCCTGCATAATAATTTCCAATCCTTGGTAAGGAGAAGTAGAAATTAATATCAGATCCCTACTACATAGTACATTTTGTTTTGTTTTGTTTAATTTTTTCTTTTGAGACAAAATCTTGCTCTTTTGATCAGGCTGGAGTGCAGTGGCATGATCTCAGCTCACTGCAACCTCTGCCTCCCGGGTTGAAGGAATTCTCATACCTCAGCCTCCCAAGTAGCTGGGATTACAGGTGTCTGCCACCACACCTGGCTAATTTTCCTATTTTGTAGAGACAGGGTTTTGTCATATTGGCCAGGCTGGTCTCGAACTCCTGACCTCAGATGATCTGCCTGCCTTAGCCTCGCAAAGTGCTGGGATTACAGGCATGAGCACGGTGCCAGGCCATGTATAGTATTTATATTATCTCATGTTAGATATACTTCATTTACCTAAAGAGCAAACTATATGTAGTCTCATTCAATTGTGTGTGTTTGGGTATTCTCAGTAAGTTAATTTGATTTTCTTCTTTAAGTTAATGAGTACTTTTAGGTATTGCCCTAGTGTAGACTAGCTGGATGCCTCCCTTTCTCCTACAGACAAGATTCCTGTGGTCGGAATGATGGATCAATAGCTTTTCTAGTTCATTCCTATCTGGATTTGTAATATATCAGACTTGTACATGTCTGTTGTCTCTTAATTGAGGATAATAGTGACAGTAGTAATTAGTAGTAGTTAATATTATGGAAAGCTTACTAAGTACCAGCCACTGTGCTAAGCACAGTAAGTACATTATCTCACATAAATCTTAAACTATGCCCGTTTTACAGATGAAGAAGCTGAGACTTACAGAAGGATCAGTTATTAAGTGACAAAGCCAGGATTTGAGCATATGACTATTTGACATGAAAGCCCCCTCATTTTTAACTACTTTAATGCTATCAATAATTATAACTGATAATATCAATAATACAGTTATTTTTTTTATTTTTATTTTTTTTAGAGACAAGGTCTCACTCTGTTGCCCAGACTGGGGTGCAGTGGCACAATCATAGCACACAGCAGGCTCAAACTCCTGGGCTCAAGCAATCTTCCCACCTCAGCTTCCTGAGTAGCTGGAACTACAGGTGCACTCCACTGCACCTGGCTTATTTCTTCATGTTTTTGTAGAGATGGGTGTCTTATTTTGTTGTCCAAGCTGCCATTTCATTTTAACAGCATTTATTACTTTCTAAAAAGTACATTTAAATGCTCCTCAATTCATTTTCTTAGTGATTTTAGGAAGAAGGTAGAAAAGTAGAATGGGCATTTTCATCTTCATGTTGTATAGATAAGATCTTGAGGTTCAAAAGATTGAGAAATTGCCTAAGATTATTAT